TAGCTCCATCCGTTCTGGCAGGCTGAAACGGAGATGGTGTGGGAGTGGGTAATGGGTAATGGGTAATGGGAGTGGTCGTAAAATGCATTCGAGTGCAAAGTTGCAAATATTTATAAGACAGCGGAAGAGCAGCGAAACGATGAAAGTAATTTCACCTCTAATCCGGTAAACGTATGTGTTTACTTTTCCTTGGAAGCCATTTGATAGAGTTTCGGAAGCTCAATAAATATTTACGCATAAGCCCAGCAATTGGTGGGATTTAGGAGGAAAATTATCGCATTTAAATAAATTTATAATAGAATAATGAAATTGCCACGTGAATGGACAATAATAATTGCTTTTGTTGAGTTTTTCAAATTAATTCAATTAAAACCTATTGTGAATTATCCTGTGGGAACTAATCACAAAGGTAATATATGTTAATAGTGGTTTCTATGATTCTAATTATGTATTTTAGCTTGAAATTCATTGTATTTATAATCTTTTTTGATATACACGGTTTTTTCCACTCACTTTCTGTTTGATTCGTCCGCTGGCTAGTGTTCCAAGCTGACCAGTCCGTGATCTCTGAGAAATTCATGCGGAACATCTCACAGTTGCTGAACGTCTCCCTGCCCCGGTTATCGGCTTGTCTATTCCAAAACAGGATTTAGATGAATTAATTTGGGGCTTCCTGGCACTTTCCAGGCACTTACTTGGGCAAGGTGATGTCCCGCCACTCCTCCAGCGAGAAGTTGGTGTTCTCCCTGCCGGGCACCGTGCACCAGTGGTCGGGTATGTTGAGGGCCAGGATGATGTTCATGTAGACCATGGCCCCGCTAAAGGCCAATCCTCCAACGAACACGAAGTTGAATAGGGTTTGATAGCGGCCATGGTTGCCAGCCTTCTCCATCAGAGCCTGGAAGGGATCGTTGAACTCCGACTCGTCCACGTCCATCTGGGAAAACTTTCCCGAGGCCTGGGAAGCCTTGCGGCTGTTCGCCTGTTCCAGCTTGTCTCTCATTTTGCACTGTTTGAATTCTGGAGCGGCTATGCTTAAGTTCCCAGTCAGAGTCGTAGGGCCCGATAAGCAGACTAATCTTTATGGCATCTGGGGCACAGAACTCCGCTCTGATGAGGAGATTGCTCGGCAATTAGATGCGGACGATAGCCGGGGCTTTCTAACGAGACACTTGTAGCCGCCCCACTTGGCGCCGGATCGTTGTTAATATCTTCAAATTGTGAATATAAAATTTATTGAGGCATATCACTTATAATTACTTATTGTTTGTTTTGAAACCCATTAACATTCACTTAGATTGTTATGAGCAAATAAATCTTGAATGGTTATCCAATGATCACTTCAAATGCTGTAAATTCTTTCCAGGCTCAGGTATATTTAAGTGATAAACCTGACATGCATTCACTTACCACTTGTTTTTTTTTTACAACACCTATTAAAAACTTTTCACTTATTCTCAAACAATATATGCATTTTCAGCACACACTTTTGAATCCACAATGAGGAATTATAGTAAGTCGATATTGTCCTTCTGTCTCATCCCAATCTAAGGGAAATTTGAAAATGTAAATTGATTTTAGGAGCGCGATCGCACTTTTCACATCCCGACGCGAAACGGATAAACTTTTGACTTTGACGCCTGCGAGAGCTCATCAACTGTGGCCAACACGCGCCGGTGCTGTTCTGGCTGTTCTGGCTGCTCGGACGGCTGTGGGGCCACTTATCAGGCCAAGACGGAGCCTTATAAAATGAATTGCTGATAACAGAACGTCTATCTGATTTACACGAATGTGTATAACCATTGCGTGGGCCAAAGAGCGGAGGTGGGGGCAGGTGCTGTGAACCTGTCAAAAATAGGGTCTCATGTGCCAGCTTTCCCTCATTGAGCAGGTTATGTTCCGCGAATCTAATCACCTTTCTCCACTGACACTGATAACACCTCTGTGGGTCATCATGGTAATCAGAGCGAGCGGTAATGGGCTTTTGATAGATCGGAAATTGTGGAATATAAGCTCGTAAAAATGTTTACATTTCAATTGTTAACCGTTGCATAAAGGGAGTCTTGTTGATGTCAGGCTTTTTATAGCGATTGCCCGCTTAATTTCATCTTTATGGAGGCCACAGGGCAATAGGCAGTAGGCTGGCTCGTAAGCCCCTCGAAAGATAAGATAGACACAAGACAATTGCATTCGGAATACGGCAACAAATCGGGGACTAGACAAAGCAAAGACTCGCGGATAATCCTGGGTTATGCCGCCGGACCGAGGCTGATAGATAAGAAGCTGGGAATATGCGGACTGGGACTTTTTCGACAACTCCCGCTGCACTTGCTCGAACTTTATCTGAAACTCTGTATACTTTTCTCTCATGTTTCTATTTGCTGATTAAATTAGAGAACCGATTATCTTCCTGCGCTGTTTGAGCTGCTGCCGCGTTTGACAACCGACTGTGACTGTGCTGAAACCGAGACGGGAGAACGCCGCTGTGGCAATGAGATAGAGTCCACTTGGCTCGGCCTGTGCAAATGCAATAATATCAATTTTCATATTTTCATGTACTGGCCGGCCGCCGGCCGAAAGACAAAAGCAATTTAACAATTTACTAAAGCACTTAAGCGCAAATTCAGTTCGGTTCCCGGCCGCCGGCCCGCCCACCTAGACTGTAGGCTGTAAGAGCTAAGCTCGCGACGTCGTAGTCGCTCTATGAATAAACATCACCATCGCCGTGGCAGCAGCAGCTGCTATAGATCTCTGGGATAAGATCTGTAAATTTAATCAGACCAGATTACGTCCGCAATGTGCTGCTAATCTATTGACTGTCACCGACACCGACCAGTCACCACGGCATTCATCTTAGCGTGTCGCAGTCTCAAGGGTTCCTGGTTCGGAGAATCGTTTACATTTCAGCCGAGTCGGCCTCCAATTGTCGTCGAAATTGCTTCTTGAAGCGGTCTCCTTTGCCAGATCAAAAGTTAGCTGGAAGGGGGATCTTAAGTAGTGCTCTGGCCCATCGAAAGATGGATGGAATGGATGGAGCAGAGTAGAGCCAAGGGTACGGGAAAGTCAGGGCCAATGAAAGTAAATGGGCGGTAATGATCACCTAATGATCGCCGTTAACAATACACATATATCCCAGTCCAAGCCCAATAATAACACTTCAAAGAGTCGAGTACTTTTTAGATATGTTCATTTTTATTTAAAGAATTTTACTTTGATTTATGCATAAACACGAATCATTGTTCTCCACTTTGCATTGTTTTGTTTTGAAAATTTCTTCTAAAATTTACTGAACTCTGAATAGCTTAGTTTGCGCTCTCGTTTTACGGTGTGTTAATGGAAATTTACTTTTCTTGCTTTTCGTTTTGTATTCTTGCAATTGTAATGTGTTGACTTAATAATCAATTTTGCGGCTCCTTGTTGGGTTAAACTTTAATATTGCTTATATATTCTGTCTTTAAATTACATCATTTTACAGTGATAATTAGAAAATGCTAGCACATGCCGAGTGTTGTGTGTGTGTTCGTTTACGTCTCTCCTCACATCGCCTCTAAATATATATAAATATTCTTTTGTTGACTTTATTACAATTTACAGTTGAAACACTTAAATGTAATTTGAATAGTTAAATTTAAAAATGCCTATAATCCGGTATTCCCTCTCGTAATATATCCGTCGATTATCGTCGCCTTCGTCTGGCTGTAACACGTGCGATTTGTTCGGTTGTTTTTTAAATTTGATTTAATTTGGGATTAGAGTTAATTGTGTTATCATACGAATATCGATATCTTATGCTCACAAAATATGTTCAGGTTTAATTTACGTTCTGAGTAGAAGTCGAAGCGTATTCCAAATAAACTCATTTACATTTAGTCAATTGCTATATTATATTTAGATGCTCTACGCTAGGTAATGCTATGCTCTAATATGTATGTTAATCAGTAGAAATTTGTATATTCGTAGTTGTTGTGCCGTGATAAATATTCCCTCATTTATTTAACTAATCGATAGAAACTGATTAAAAACATTTGCGCTGCCTGACTAATTTCATTGTCTGCTTTTGATTATCGCTAAATCGCTCATAGTGGATACGTCTTGATATCTACCATAAGGGTCGTACTAGATCCTAACTGAATCGTCATCCCAAATATATACACACGATACGGACACACGACTCTGGCTACGATTGAAAATATTGCTTAGCGTACATTACATATTTTGCTCGATTTGGCAATTTTCGGCAGTTATTTATACAAGTTTCTCTGACGGACTGGCATTTACATTGTTATTCTTATACGATTATCGATTATTAACAAATTAAAATTAGTTTCGAATGGCAGTTGGTGTTCTGTTCTTCTTGTCGTGTTTTATAAAATACTTTGTTTCTTGTTAAAATTGAATTGGTCTATTGCTCTTGCACCCGGATTAGTGCCTTAAAAATAGGAATCGACTTCAGTGTGTGTGGTCTGTGTGTGTGTGTGGAAACGAATTATATATATATTAAAATGCAATTCAAGTTGGACGTTTCACAATATCACGTTGAGAAATATGCACACGCAAAGCAGCTGAACAGTAAACAAATGGCAAATCAAACAAGTCTCATTCAATAGCCCGAGGCTAACTAAAAATAGTCAAAGCATTTCAAACATTTTCCGCTACATCCCTAGGTATGTATGTATATGAAATTTCTCTTTCTTTTTCTCTGCAGACGTGTGTATATAATAATAAGTCTGTACTTTGTATAAATACGTGTTAAATATTTGTGTAAATGCCAACATTATCGGAGGAAGGATTGACTGACTCTGACTAACTCTGACTTCGCACTATCCCCAGCCACTATTCCGCTCTCATTCCCGTTCCCTAACTCTGTCTGTCTATCTCTCTCTATACATACTATACATTTGAACTGAAAGACGCGTGTTGGCCTTTTGTTTTCACTATCGAATCACAGCAATTGAAATACACTTAACTCAACGGGAGACTAAACTAAGAACTTGATGTAGTAAATGGGTTATTGATCCTCCTGTCTGTCGTCCTGGTCCTGCAGCAGCTGCACTCCGATTCCGCTTCCCACTCCGCCGCCGCCGCCGCCGCCGCAGTTCCCGGCGGTGCTGCTTCCCGTCGTGTTCTTGCGCAGGTGATTCCGCAGCATCACTAGGTTCCGGTTGAGCGGCAGATTGCTGGCCATCGACGACAGTCCGGCCGAGGAGGAGGAGGAGGAGCTCGGAGCGTGTGGCAGCGTGTTGCATATGTTTCCCAACGGCGCTGGGTGGGCTGTGGGCGAGGTGGCAGACATTCCGTGGGGCGTAAGGGTTCCCATGCCCAAGCCCATGCCCGAGCCCACGCCCAGCAGCAGCTCGTGGGCCAGTATGGTGGGCAAATGTTAAGTGCTGCTCTTTAGCGGACCCGATGATAGCGAACTGCTGCTGACCCCCGAGTCGCTCGACTTCTCGCTAAGCCCTCCACGCGTGAGCGTATCGTCCGCCATAAGGCCGCCGCCGCCGAGAAAGGACTTCTTGCCCACGCGTCCCCCGCCCGGCAGCGTGGCCTTAAAGGGATTGTCCTTGCAGCGCCGGGCGCTCTCCACGCGCTTCATGATCTCGCTGGAGCACTTGGTCACCACGTCATCCAGACTGTTCGACTCGTCCGTCGAATTGACCGCCTGTGTTGGTGTCTGCGAACTGGGCAGCGGTGATCCCTCGTAGCAGCCGGAGTCGCGGGGAAGTGCCTTCGGCCGAAGGGCGACGCTCCATGCTTTATATTAATGTTGTTCAGGCGGGCCTCGTCGTTCTCCGAGCTGGATCCTGCTATGTCCACGTCGGAGCCTGTGCGGGTGAAATTTGTAGCTGTGAGTATTTGTGGGTGTGTGGGGTGTGGGTGATGTGTTAAGTACGAGGTGAGAGAGTGGGTTAGGTTGGGTACACATCAATTTAGCTGGCTTACTTAGGCAGTGAATCTCAGGCATAAAAGAGCCAAGGCAGGTGAATACTTCAAGCTGCGTTAGTAACTCGATTTTATGGCTGCAGGAAAGATATCGCTGATACTGCTGTTTTATACGCCCAACGTGGTGGCGCAGTCGAGTAAAAGGCACTTTATCTGTTGCCAATAAAATTTAGATTTCAAAACTGTACTTTATGGGCAATCGTGATTAGGAATTTCACAATATTCGTTAAAAATTACGCCTTTAGACCCTTAATTTCGTAATGTGAAATTTAATTAAGAGCTCCATTGATATTTACAACTAAGAACACGGAAAGAAAAGTAAATAGAATACTTGAAACAATACGTAGATAATTTAACAAGTTGGCAAGTTGGTTCTTTATTATATATAGTACTTCTTACTCAGCAAGAATCTAAAACTATAGTTTTAACCTGACTTCACATAATTAACTGTGTAGTTTCACTGCCTAAATTTAGCCAGTAGGATCTTAAGATAGGTTTTCCAGGAATCTAGACTTACATTCAATGTCATGCAGCAACTGCACAGCCGTCAGCAGCTTGGCGCGATGCTCCTGATTGAGGATGCCCAGGTAGTCGAGATCGGCGGGCTCCAGCTCCTTGAACAGCTCCAGGTCCTCGTAGCTGCAAATGGAACGATAGGTGAAACAATCCAACAAAAATATTGTTGGTAAATTTGTTTCATCTACACCACTTACCCGTTGAGCACGAACACGGAGGTGTACTCCTTGAGGCCGATGCGAATCAGCAGATCCTCCACCGAGCAGGGTCCTCCGCCGTTGTTGCTGCTGCCATTGCCGGGATTATTGGCCAGCCGGGAGCCGGGGGCCAGGGTCTTGCTGCTCGAGTTCTTCATGCGCTGCTCCGGCAACACCTCCACGTTGATGAACTTGAAGTGGCCCACGCGACCGTGGCAGCGTCCCTTCCAAATGCCCGAGGCATTCATCGACAGCACATCGATGAGCTCGCCCTTCTGCGGATGGGAGAAGAGTGATTGGATTAGCATGCTTCGAGGACTCTCCTTGCGGCCCTTGAAAAATAAAATAATCCCACTTGCAGCATCGACAAGAGCTGCTAATCCGCCAGGTAGCTCACCTTGAATTTAAGCGCCTCCTTGTCGTAGGGATTGGGCAAACTATCCACCAGAGCCTTGGCCTTACAGATGCTGCTGACCATCGAGGTGCGATCCTCGGCCGAAATCGAGCTGTGCGGACTGCCAGGACGCACCAGGGCCTGGGTGCCTGTGGACGAGAGGATTTGGTATGGATTGATAAATATTTGCCCAGCTCTTTTGGCTCAAAGTTTGTCGTCCTGCCGAATTTCCAATTAATGCGCCCACAGCCAATTAGCCGCAGGACCCCAGGAATTTACTACGGACAAACACTTTGGCCCATGCATGCCTAAGCTCGCACTCATTCGTTTGGTTAATTAAAAACTTTTCAAATATTTTCACACACACTCGCAAACATTCACAGACTTGGCCCCGAAAATATTCAAATATGCACTTGAAGTTTCCCATTATTTTTCTGGGCTCTGTTGTTTTCTTTGCGTCGGTTTTTTATTTGGTTTTGGGCCGGACTAATCCTTGCTTTGTATCCTGGCCACACGAAAAATAAAGTATTTTTCCTTGCACTTTTCACAAGTTGCCACCCGGTCACCCCACCACCTAGCTTGGCTCCTCCACCGATGTTGCCTTTTATTTTGGGGCAAAAGTTTTGTTCATTAAAAAGGAAGCGGTTGCCCTTCATTTAACCACGCCCCAGACATTGCAATCTGCAGTGCCCCGCCCCCATTGGCAGGGCACTTGCCCTCTCTTGGCCTCTTTCGGTAAGGGCGGCAGCAAGTGCATTAAAAATTCATTAAGTTGGCAAAATTTGAAGGAGCAACAAAAAACCGCAACAAGAACTACAGCTGTTAATAGACCAATATGCAACCAGCCAGGCAGGCAGGCTCCCAGGAAGAGGCAGCCTGGGAGTCGGCAAAGGCAGTCTGGGAATTTTTCCATGGCCAGCGAAAGGAGCTGGAGACTCAGACAGGAGCAACAGACAAAATCAAACCCGAAAACTCTAAATTGCAAGCTCAGACAAAGATACACACAATCTCCCTGGCAGCACAATTTGTGTACTTACTCGAACCGGAAGCGCTGGGCAAACTTTCCACGGAGCTGGCCGAGCAGGCGAACGCCTGATCGCTCATGCTGCCACGGTCGGTATTATCTTGGGAATTGCTGAAATCCCTAGACGTATCCTTTGTGGCAACAAAGTTTCGTCCATTCTCATTAAATGCGCCAATTTCCTTTGCCGAGCTACGCATCTCGCCCGACTAACAAACCAAACCAATCCGAGTCATAGTGAAAGTTATCCAATTTTTTTTGTTCCCGTGTTACCAACATGGTCGTCGTCGCAATAAATTGCATGTTGAAGGGTAGCAGCAGAAACAGAACAGGGAAAGTATGAAAGTTTTGTTAGTTAAATCATTAAAAAGTTTAAAACGAACATACCGATACGCAGCCGAGGAGGAGAGCAGGATGGATGAGACATGGCTTTGTGTACACAGAAACAAATATTAAGCTGGAACTTTAGTCATATATGCAGGGGTTTAATTAATCCTAAAGTAAGCAAAGCCCTCAGACAACTATTTGCTAATTTAAATTATGGTAACTGCTGAGCTTTACAAAAAAGTAAAGTTTCCCTCAAGTTAGTTTTAACTATTTATAAAGTTTATGAAGTCTTTAGTTTAATATTTTGTAAACTGCAAGTTAAAGTAATTGTTTCATGTGTTTCTATTTTATTTTTAACCTTGACTGCTTGGCTTCTAAGCCTAAGCTGCTGAATCCACAAAACTGTGCTCATCTTTATTTTTTTTGGCAGTCCTCGCGAGCAGCCTAGAAAGTTGGTCGAAATGAACTTTCGCTTTTACCACTTGCTGCTGGCAGTCAAGCCAAGAGGAGGCCTGTGCACGCGGCCATAAAAACTCATTAAAATGGCATTTGCATTTAGAGTGCATGCGGCGGCAAGGAGTTCAAGTCGAGGCCCATTATGAGGCCTAGTTGGAGCCAATTGCATATGCAAAGTGCCGTTGGCCAATGGCTAATTACATTTTCGCCGACCGGCCACACGGTATGTGTCAACAAAATCTCCGTGGCTGCAGCATCTCCACTTGGCAAACGCAAATGCAAATGCACTTGGACTGCTCCTCCATGGAGTTCCAGCCAGCTCATTCCCTCCATCCGCTCCTCCATCTGCGAAGGCTTAGTCGGCATTAGCGTTTAATTAACTTACATGATGCACCGTGGCCTTTTGGCAAATGGTGTTCGCCTTGCCATGCGGCAGTCCGTTCTTTTTGGCTTTGGCAGCCAGCAGGCTGGGCGGGAGGCATCCGTGGCCCCTGGTGGCTCCGATGTCCTCGTAATCCGACGAGGGGCTGGGCGACAGCGACGGCGACTCCCCGATTCCGCCGCTTAGCGTCCGGTAGCGGGCCGTGCAATTGTTGGTGCCGATCTGTGGGCAGGGAGCAGAAAAGCGGATTGAGTGCGTCGTCTGTGTCGTTGCCATATTAGCCAAGTCGGCGGGGCAAGTCAACTTTGCAAATGAAATGGTCGACCAATCTCATTTTCCGATGCCCGTATTCCGACAGCGTTTAGCTGGCTTAAGTGCCAACTCCAACTCCAAAGCCAACTGCAGCCCCCGGAAAGGAAAACAAGGAGAAATAAGCACGGAAACAGAGGAACAACTTGGCTAAAAAGCTTTTCCAGTTTCTGTGTTTTAGTTTTTTTATTTCTCCCTATCTACGTGCATTCCAGCTATCGTCCATTTTCGACCAGACCGAAAGCGAAGTTTGTTTGTCACAAAGAGCACTTAATCAATTTAGACGCATCCAGATGCAGTTGGTGCAGTAGTTGGAGATGGAGTTAGAGTTGGGACTGAAAGTTAAATGAGCCCAATCCGGGCGGCGGGAAAAAAGGGACTCTGGAACTTACCGACACCGCACTGAGCCTGGAGGTAACGCTTTGGAGATCTGAGATAGAGCCCGCATAGTCGCCGCTTTCACGATCATGAGATCTGGAAGAAAAACAGGAAATATAAATGTAAGTTGAATTATAATCTGCATCTCCATCACTATTTTTGAAGCTTTTATAGAATTTCTAAACACAAAGTAGTTGGTATATTTCTAAACAATTCAAACCACTTTCTTATGAAGTTCAATTGTTAATTCGCTGTTTTCACAACTAGGAATCAATCTATAAAAGCTATCCATTTCATTTTGGACTTTGGACATTTTCCTAGTAATAAAATCTTCTTTCTCCGCCTTGTCAATCGGCCCAAAATTGCCCCTGACAATGGCCAAAAACAACTTTAAAACTCGTGGGTGGCAAACATTTTGAGGGCAAACAATAACCAAAGAGGCAGAAGGTGTCGAAGGGGCCGAGAAGAAGTTGGCTTGGGACACCGACCCAACCCGAGGTCGAGTGGCAAACAAAGGTCATATAAATAAATACTTGATATCTTTTTCTTGTTTTCTTTTTCCTGGCCGATTTTCCTTTGCCATTTCGCTTCGGCACTGTTGAGATTTTCACTTTTGGTTGCCTTTGCTGTTTGTTTTCCACCTTCCTTTTCCCTTTCTTTCCAGCTCGTATTTTCCCGCATTTCGTGAGAAGAAAAAGTTTTCTTAGCGTTTGCCTCGCCGTCAGGGAGCCCCAGCGGCGCACGAGGCGTATAAGTTATTTCAGCAAGTCCTTTGTATGCGTACGTGTGGAAAACGCAGCTCTACAATGGAGAGGAGAGGAGTCTGCCTCCGTTGCCTCTCGATCCTGATGTCCTGATGTCTACCTACAGCTGGCTGATTGAGGAGGAGCTGCCTGCGTGGTACTCTGACTTGTGGATTGGCGTTGAAGTAGCAATAATGCCATTTCATTCAAGTGTCCTGGCCTGTCGCTGTCTTGCTCTTATTGGTTTTGACCCCGCCGCAGGAAGGGAAGGATTCGGGATCCGGGTTCCCTGTACAACGAATGTGGCATGCGTAACAATATGAAATTGATGACTTTCGCTCCGATGCGTTTCGATATGTGTGCCGTCGTCTGCCAGTCAAGTTCGCTCGTCACTCACTCAGTCACTCACTCACTAATTCCCTCATTCATACCTCCCCGTTCAGCGATTCATTCGTTCAATTCATTCATTCATTCATTCCACTGGCTGCAGACCTTCGATAACCGCACTAATGAAGTGAAGTCTACCCTTTTTCTGGCTTTTTCTCCTGCCTGACTGGCTGACTGTCCTGGGCCTGAGCCTGGGTGCCATCCTTTGACGCACCTTTTCAGATTGACAAATAAATTCGAGATGCCAGACTTGAGCTGTTTGATTGCTTTCGCTCTGGTCAGCTATTAGTGTTTGCTGGTCCAAATGTTTGGCCTTTTCACGGCGGACTGGGCACATTTGTGGCCCAGTTTTATGGTTCAATGATCACCTTTGAAGTGGACAGGAAAGCAGGAAAAAAAAGGGTTCGGCAATTGTTGTTTGCCATATCATAACTGCCCACTCCTGCTCACGCCCCGTCCCATCATCAGAAATCTGAAATCCGAGCACGAGGACGAGGACGAGGATGGGTTCTGGACCATTTTATTTATTAATGCGCCACCTTCGTGTCGGCCCTTTGGCCATAAACTCAACTGCAAATAATAATGGCAATCAACGACCAGGACTACCGCCCCCGGACCCCTCACATCCGACCGCCCCCGCGGGCTGTACTCACCTGGCGTGCGTTAAGGGTATTATTGTCGGTGGATTTGGCGGCTGCTGCGGCACGATAAGACCTCTACGCGGCGGTCCACGTTGCGGCAATGAAATATCTCCGGCGGATCTTAATGAAATTACGCCCGTGCTCTCGCGGTTATTCGAGAAGCGCACCCGGCCACCCTGCAAAAGAAGTGGAGAGAAGAAGCGTGAGTGAGGGGCATACATACACTGGGGGGAAAAACGCCATCTAAAATCGAGAATAAAATAATAGAACTATATAAGAATTGAGCAGCTTTCAATCGAGATGAAATAGGTTATAAATAATACTGTTACAGATATAGTATGTGTGTTTTTTTTTTATATAACTTAACTTATAATTAATAATTAATATTTTAATATCCTTTTTTCTGTAATTTCTATAACTTATTTTTTCTGTGTGTATTTATCCTTAACAAGGGAGTGAGATAGAGAGTTCGTACAACATGGGGATTAGCATTCAAGTAGAATTTGTTGGCCGCTGTAGAGCAACAAAATTATGAAAAATTAACAAAGTTATAAAACTTTATGAGGCCGTGAGTGGGACAGAGAGGGTGTGGGGGTAGAGTGAGACAGAGCGAGGAGAGAGTTTATTTGCTGTTGCTGCGCTATATTTGTTTTTGTTGCACTGATTTGATGTGGCTGCCGGCTTCAGCTTGGAATTTTAAATTTAGTGAACACAAATTTGGTTTCTTTCGCAGGATTTTTTTGTATATATATATATTTTTTTTTTTTGCGTATGTTTGTTTGGCAACGGAAATTGCAAAGTTTTCTCGTTTTTAATTTAGGCAATGCAGCAAAGTTTTCCCGGGTTCCCAGAGAGCGTGGAATGGCGTCAGAGGTCGACCCCCTGAAAATCTGAATTAGATTTTTTGAACTGAGCATGTCTCCCAACTCCTCCTTTCGGGTTGGTTTAATCCGGCGTATTTTCGGTATGCAGTGCTTAAAATCGGTCGGATACCGAGAGCCATATCATGTCAAACGTTTTGCGGGTCCAGTTTCTGATCAAAGGCTGGCCTGGCCCCAAACAATTCAATTTCAATGCGCTTCGGCCGCATTATCTCCGGCAACTCCGGTCCGTTAACCTTTTCCCGAGAACCGAGAACCGCAAAAGTTTCATTTCAATTTTAAACAAATTTCGTGGCCACATCAAAGGGGCCCGAAGCAAAAGAGGCCCGCACAAAAGGCCCCGAGTGGTGGGGGGTGGCTCGGGAAAACGCTTCAGCGTTGAGTGATTTCAATTGACTAAGAAAACAAATTCCCTCAGTCTCAGTCTCAGTCCCAGTCCTAGACCCCGAGATGCCGGTCTCCGAATGTCGATAACTTGCCTAATGCGTTCCGACAAAAGCGCAACTCCCCGAATCGTTGGAAAAAGTCAAGGGGGAGCTAAGAAAATTATGCAAAAGGAAAAGTCTCAAGACGTCGCGTCGTCTCAGAGTTTTCCCACCTCAACCCAAGCTCCGAGATCAATCCACAATCAGAGTGGGAGTCAGAGTCAGAGTCGGGCAAGTCAACAAGAATTATGCACTTTTTGACTGTCAATAAAAATAAAGTGAGTTCGAGTCGCAGTTTGTCCCGGAGTTATGCACAGAGCCCAAGGAGCGGGCCGCCACAAGGAAGCGTGCAAATGCCAAAGGACATGGACATACAAGTCGAAGTGGGTAGAAATCAATGCGCCAGCACAAAAATATATTCAGCGTATAATTTAATAAAGCAAATAGACGAAAAAGCCACAAAGCGAAAATCGCTGAGAAAAACCAAACTCGATGAGGGGCACAAAAAAAAAAAGAAATAGAAATGGAAAAGCGGAAACTCCTCCTCCCCTCACAGATTTTGTGGCTGGCAAATTCCACAGAGAAATCAAAGCGGCAACCCGCTGAAATTGGTAAAGGAACTGGTATTGGGATCGGGTTTGAACCTGGCACTGGAGTCCGCCGGGTAACCAGGATTAACGGCGTCACAGGATGTGGCGCATAAATTTCGAATGTGATTGCAACACAGCGACAATGTTGTCGCTGCCAATTCTTCTTTTCGTTTTTGTGGTAAAGGATGACATAACCCGCCAGGCTTCCATCTCATAGTGTGGAATGTATATCAGACAGAAAAAAAGGTTTTCTAGTTTGCTTTCTTTTTTAGTAAATGCTTTTTACATTATAGTTTGACTTGAAAAGAATCTTTTATAGTTTATCTAGGTGTTTTCTTATCCAATTTCATTATGTTTATCTTATACTTAAATGCATCTTAAGATGGACACTCACCTGAATTGTGGCTGCTGGTCCGCAGTTGAGTCCGGCCATGAGAAAGTCATCGGGATCGCTCTCATAGGGCGGCTCGTCGTACCAATGACCTTGATGATGCAGCGCACTCACCGCATAATGGGCAGCTGCTCCTCCTCCACCGCCGCCGCCGCCTTGGCCTCCTCCCATGGGTATGGCACCCAGGCCGGCGATGCCCATACCGACGCCCGTTCTCAGGGCCTCGTCGTACATGTACGTATCGTCTGGAAGGGGAATAAACCGAGTTTAGCAGTGGCAAGTAGGGCTCAGGGATTAGGATTAGGGAAGAATGTGCCGAGGAAGAACTTTAAAAAGTTTTGCGAGCGCCCCGAAAAATGTGCAGAGCCAGCAGAATGGGCTGCAACACAATATTATTATACGCCACGTTGCACACAAAACTTGCAATGCCATTTGCCACATGCGAGCAGCACAAGTTGCTCCCGTCCCGAGTCCTTGGTCCTTAGTCCGGGGCTTATGTTCGGATTCTGGTCCGGAAACGGACATAAGATTTTATGCTCGCTTATGCATGTGACGCTCGCCAGACGGGCGGGCGAGGCCACGCCCTATGCTGCAGTTGCAACTTGCAGCAGAAGCCCTTCAAGTGTAAAATTCCAGGCTGCATACTTTTCGGGGCACTCGCCTAGCTCTTCCTTCTCTACATTCCCCGTATATCCTACTCCTTGGCTTTGTTCTTTGCGCTCCTTTGTGTTACTTACCCATGCGTCCTTCGCCGCGACTCATTTGCAACAGTCCCTGTCGAATGTCACGCAGGATCTGTCAAAGATACAAAGCAATATTGGATTATTCTTTCGCACGAAATTCGTCTTAATTGAATTGGAATATGTTTTGTTTTGAGCACTTTTCATTAATATGCAATGGAAGGATAATTTGAAAAGGTATCCCATTTACAAGAACCCGTAGTTCCTTGGATATAACCTTAAAGTTGAAAAAAAAAGCAAATGTACATACAGCCGGCTAAAGGCAAATCGAGTTTACCAAGAAACACATTCAGTGATCCAGTTTCTGGGAGATCACATTTTCTCGAACCAAGACATGGACTTATTCTAATCAAGACTAATAAGCAGCCTCCTCCAACTTTATATGGTCAGAGAAAGTTGCAACTTCTTGGCATGGCCAACTTTGGCACCCTATGCCAACCCGCCAGACAGACTATAACTAGATAAAACTTCTCCGTATTGAAGGCGACGCCTCCGCCCCGGGTTTGCATGCATGTTTGCTCGTATTTGGGCAGCACTTTGTCTGCATGCCAAACGTGACTGCTGTACGAAATGAAAGGAGGACCGTCGAGGACCGAGACGGGGACGAAATGTTGTCAACTTCCAAGCTCCAAGCTGGCGACTCCTTCTCCCAGCTGGCATCTTATTAGCCAAGTCAGTCAGTCAGTCAGCCAGCAAGGCAGTCGTCAGGCAGTGAGGCTCGCGTAGCTGGCAAAGGCGTTAAAATTACAAAATTCCATTTGAAAACTAAAACAATTTTGCCAGCGCAAGCAGAACTACTAGCTGCAGAATGTGCTACTTGTTTCTATTTTTGTTACTTCCTTTCTCGTTTTGTATATCTTTTTGGCATGTCCTGAGTGTCCTGCAGCATAATGGCATTCTGTGTGCGCGGCATACTAATTCCGAGAGCATATATGAAAATGTATTTTCTGCTGCTGGCAGCCAGCGAAAAGCATGCCAGGGCCAGCTAGCGAACAGAAGCTGAAACAGAAATAGAGGCAATAAAAGCGGGGCGCTGAAAAATTAGCTAAAAGCTTTTTTGGCCAGTCCGCATTAAAAATGCATTCAAATGGCACTGCCGGATTGCTAGGGCGGTGTATTATATGGTCCACCCACAGCATCTGTACACACAATTGACTAGATATATATACACCAGTTGGCAAATTGAAATTTACGTGGCCAAGACATACAGAAACTTCCCTTACCATTCTAATCACATCTGAGGTTCTTGGGGTCGCCTGCCTAATTGCTGGGCCAAATGCAAGGAACCCCCTAAAATCCCTCCGCCCCCCAAAGAAAAGAGATATAAGGAACTTTTACCCTCTACTGTCTCATCATAAATATTTCATGTTGCTCGTAGGTACACACAACAGCAGCTTTCTTTTTTCTCCCCCATTCCATTCCAGCTTTTCCTTGCCAAAATGGAAAACAAGCTCGTGAACAGCCTCCTTTCCATGTGGCTGAGGAGGAGGGGTGTTCTGCAAAAACAGCAATTACAATTAGACAAACAGAATGCTGTTTGCACAAGTTAAGCAGCAGCAGCAGTAGAAGCAGCAGCAGCAGCACTAACAACAATAACAATGCGACACCCCAACCTATATCGCCCTACCCCCACCTTTTGTGTGCTTTTCATTTATGCACAAAAATTATTGCCCTTGCTTAGGAGCAGCACACATTTTCCTGGACTGGCAAACAGTCGACAAATTGTCGTGCAGCAACGCAGTTTATGTCAGTACACAAGAGGAAAAAAGGCCTCCCCTTACAATATGAAACCTTAACAGGAATTTCTGAAGGCTCCGGCTCGAAGGACCAAAAGGGATAATTGGTTTAAAGTCTATAATGATTGCTTGCAAGTACGAATTTCTATATCTTATCTAAACAAACTTTTCCATATATGCTTAATTGCTTTAAATTAAAGAGTATCAGTATTACTCTCCCCTATTTCTCCCAGTGCATTCGTGTTTCTGTTTGCTGCGTGTATAAGTCCGCATCTGCTGTCTGCTGTGTATCCATCATTGAGCCTGATAACTGGCATAATTAACTGGGCTGGTTGCCAAGTTGATTGAGGACGTCGAGTGCCAAGGGTAGATGATTTCCCTAATCGATTTGGATTTTAAGTCTAAATGAATCTGATGGTCATTCACAAGCAGATAAATCTAGTGAATCTCGGGTTAACATTATCAATCAGAATCTGAAACCCCTGAACAGCCGGGGGTTACCCGCAGTCAACATGAAATACTTTGGTCTGCGTTCACAACTAATTCTCTTGGCATATAAATAAATAAGTTACTCTCTTTCAGCGACACGCCCATCCATTCACACTTCCCAAGCACAAAAACACACATACAGAGCAACGAGTATTTTTATCATGTCCTTCGTTTGGACAACATTTTCAAGTGTGGAAAGTCTTGTTTTATTTTTTCGGTATGACAGACAAAAGTTTATCATTCGCCACGTTGCACTTCATTGTTTTTGTTGGCCCTGCTTTTGGTGGCAGTGCCAGTGTTGGTGTGTATCTATGTGCTTAACATTTTGTCTGCGTCTGTTTTGCATGTTTGCTCGCACATTTATTTGGAGGGCCAAGTGGCGAGAACTGGGACTGGGGCAGAGCTCTTTCGGCCCGGTCTTCGGGCTTTTATGCCTTGGAATAATTGCTGTTTTTATATCAAATATTTTTAATAGCTTTTTTAATTGGCTTGTGCATGAAGAAGTCGTAGCATTTATATTGCAAATACAAATAAGAACTCAAACAGTGCAAGACGCAAATATAAGACGCTTGCAAGCGTACGTATGTATATATTTATTTTGACAATTAACTGAAATTTGTATTAGTGTGGCAGGACACAAATGGGAAAAATTAAAAGAGAAAAGTTCGTAACACACGTTTTATGAGGCCAGTTTTTATGGTTAATGTGTTTCATCCGAAACTTAGGAATCCTTAAGTTGTTTTTATTATACTAAAGCCTTTTAATTTCTAATAATATTTAATTAACCTCTTTTCCTAAAAAAGATAGCTTGAATATACAACTAATTTTCATGACTAGCCGATGTAAAAACCCTAATATTTGAAATATTTATATAACGTAAATATTGTTGAAATATTTCCCTAAGCATTCTCACACCGAAACGCACTGTATACACTGTAGGGCAAACACAACCTTTCGGCCTGTACAATTGCAACAGTTCCTTCTGCTTGTGTATTTAGTGCATGCAAATGTAAGTCTACGGAGTCTGTGAAATAAATAGAGCAGCCTTCAAAAGGAACTGAAATTGCCAGCTCGTCTTGCTCACCCTTTTGGGCCGAGAGAGTGTTTTATGTTTATTTAATATGTGAAAAGTGCCCGGAACAAATAGGCTTGATTTATCCCTGGCCAACAACAGCAACGCAAATGTTTGCCATTCGCATTTATCAATTTTTGGAATGGACATCTTGGATGCATAAATCTTGGTTCTTTGCGGTTGCAGTGGCCGGGATGCGAGTATCTAAATATATTTGGAAATGTTTCGAGTCACTTACCTCCTCGTGTTCACGCTGGAATTTTTCCTTTTTCCGCATGGCCTCCTGTACTTTTAACTGCAATTGGAAAATTGTTGTCGTTTACTGAGTGACTTTGTTTATTTATGGATGCGGCAACTAATTTCTTGGTAAACGAACATTTTAAAGTATACTTTCGGGGTTGCAAAATGGAAAGGGGCCTCCCCGAATGGGGGTGTTTTCAAGAGAAGTGTGCCAGAGTGTGTGTGGTTATGCATTATGCATTTGCTAACTATTGTTGTTGCCATTACAGCTGCTGTTGCTTCAGGTGTTGCAGGTCTGTCTATCTGTTGTTGCTGCTGCTGCTGCTGGTGCTGTCGCCGTTGATTGCATTTTGCTGCTTGTTTTTAGTTTGGCGCCGTGCGCGCTGTCATTAATAATGAATGTTGACGGCAATGAACTTTTAAATGTTGCATGCATCCACACGCTGCCACTTCCTCATCCACATCCACATCCTCTTTCTCGGGCTGCCTCCTGCCGCAATTGTTGTAGTTGTTGGTGTTGGTGCTGCCGGCATGCCATTACAGGTAAACGTGCTCAAAAGCAACAGCCGCAGCTTTCGTGTTGAAATTGCATTGCAAATGCAGTCAAAAAGGGGGGCCTCCGTAGGGTTGGCTGCGAAACTTTGCAGCGTGTTGTTGCTGCTGCTGTTGCAGTTTGTGCAAATTTTTTGTTGTTGTTCAAGTAAAAATTTTGTTGGCTGTCGCAGCTGTTGCAACAGCAGCAGCAGCAACACCGGCAGCAACAGCAGCTTGTTAAATTTGCAGCATAAATATTTATGCGACTATTCTAGCCATTCTAACAAACCAAACATTCCACTAACACACACACATTGTTACATAGACAAAGACCAGGGAAAATATAGTTCTTAAGCTTGACGAAGAGTAACAATTGTTACGTGCAACCTCTTCATATACTTTACTATTTTCGTTTTTAATCTATATTTTTCATACTTTACTTTTAATTACTATAAATATTACTTGAAACTGTTTCAAAGTAGCACTATTTTCCGTATAGATACCAATTATTTTTGCCTTTAGTACTCACCCTGTGGATTGTCTCCTCGAAACTGTGCTGCTGACCGCCAGCGCCGCCGTTTATCATTTGAAAGTGCCTCAGACGATCGTTGGCCGCCTGCAAGGATGCGAAAATGAATCAATTTAGGGCAAAGTTTTAAATTCATTTTAAGGCCAGCGAAGGCTCTGGCTCAATCGCCTGGCTTATTAACTTTCTCAAGTATGCACAAAGGTTACGCAAGGGGATGGGGCAATGGGAAATGGCGAAAGGATGCTCATAAATCAAGGACTCCTTGAAAGGGGGCCACAGCCAGCATCGTGCTTTATCGCCATTAGGACGCCATTTTGTATTTCACACCTTTCAGCGGGGCTTTAATTTTTAATTAATAACGAGTCAAGGGTCAGGTTAGGGTCGCCCTTCGACCCTTCTCGGGTAGCTGTTTAATGCGTTTGTTTTCTTATCATAAATACCAAATCAGGTGGGAGAGAACAGAACACATGGCCCCGACCCAGGGTCCAGGTGAGTGCTGTTTAATTATATTTTGAAAGGCCATGATGCTGAGTAGGATGCCGCTACTTAGGCACATATCCTTAGTCATTTCCTGCGCTTATCTGCAGCAGGTCCTGGCCGGGCTCCCTGTTTTTTTCTCTCTCTCTCAGCTGTGCGCCTTTTTCTCCCCGGCAGTTTATTATTTATATTTTTTCCTCTCCTTTCTCCTTTATTTATTCTTTTCTGCGCTGCTTGTGAAAAATTTATGCATGTCCTTGCTTATTTATGAGCAGCGTCGCCGTCCTGTTCCACGTTATCTCTGCTCCCGGCCGCAGTTTCATTGCCAGGCTCAAGAATAGTGCCGCCTGCGCCAGCCCCGTAGCAGCTGGCTCCAGGTCCATCTCCGTCTCCGTCTCTGATGCTTTTCCCCAAAGGTTGCTCTAATCAAAGGCGCTGAATGAATCCTTTGTGAGCGGTGCAGATAAAGCGAGTACAGCAACTCGAAGGCAGAGGAAACGGTATAGAGGATAAAGGATAGAGGGAAGGTGCAGCCAGGATGAGAAGTGGCAATGTAGACATGGCCGCTGGCAAAACATTTTTAACCTTTTCAGCTGGCAAAAGGAGAAGCTGGGCGCATAAAAATTTACATGTCCCCAGGGCCAAGATTAAGTATGCTTTCCCAGTGCTTTCCAGAGTGTACAGAGTACAGAGTCAAGACGCAGAAAGTCATAAAATGGCAGCCTAGAAGAAGGATATTCGGAGAAAAGGAAACCAAACGAAATGCGAGCAAATAAATTGAAAGAATTACCGCAGCAGTTGATTCAAATGAAAGGCTGTTGCCGTGGCTGTAACCGAAGTTGGAGCGATGGGAGCTGGGGACAGAACTTGCGGGACAGGACAAACAATTTGCTTGCGGTCATAAAACGAAGCGCGAAAATGAGTTTCAGTTCGGAGGGGAAATCGGGAAAAGGCATTCGGGGGAGTACTTACCCTGGCCTGGGCGCCATTCTGTTGATTGTTCCGATCCCGTCGATTGACAGTCTTCAAGCCTTTCAGCAGTCGGGCCAGCGTTGTGCGTTTCTTTGTCTCGCGGCCCTCTGGAGAAGTCGTTGGAAAATGAAAGAAAATTGAATTAGTGAGGGAATTCGACTTGGCGGTGGCTGATTTACATATTATCTCCCTTTTTTCGCATTTGCATATCCTTGCACAGGCTGGGAGTCAAATTTTTGGATAGAATTTTAAACGAAAGCCTGGCCAAATGCCATTTTTGTTTAACTTAATAAATAAGCAAGTAAGTAACTAACTGGTAAAGTATTTTGTTAGGACAAAGTAAAGCAAATACAATGTTCTGCCAGGATATGCTTGTTCTTGTTCCCTAACTTACCAGCTGTCGGTGGAAATTCATAGAAGTACGCAGATCGTGGACTCAGGCAGCTGTAGAAGAGAGGTTCTGAATTAATTTAGTCCTTCAGAGAAAGGAAAACACTCACTTTTGCTGCACAAAGTTCATGTGGGCGACATTCGGAGGCAGGGTCTGGTGCTGATGCGCTCCCATCTGCTGCGGCTGTCCTGGCACAATTGGTAACTGCTGCTGCTGCTGCTGGTGTTGCTGCTGCATCTGCATCTGCTGCTGTTGCTGCTGCTGAATGCTCTGTTGCGTCTGCAGTGTCTGCTGCTGCAGGAGCTGCTGCTGCTGCGTCAATCCGCCGCGTGCCACTCGCGGTGCAAAGACGCCGTAGCCGAAGCCGTAGATCTCGTCCTCCTCCTTGTCGGACAGACAACTCGAGGGCTGCAAGAGATGGGGGTGGATCAGGGTGGAAAATTAGTCACTGGTTTGGATACTCTACGGGGGAGAGACACAACTACATTGACATGCAAATGAAAGTGGAGTACTCAAGCAAGCAAAAAATATTTACACAGTATTTTTAACACACAATTAAATAGATTTATTCGGATAGATGCTTAATGGTTTTCATTTTCATTTTCTCTTCCTTTTTCTTTTTAGTGTTACTTTTGCAACGCCAACATCAATTTTGGTGGAAATTTCGTTCTGTTTTCATTTCGGATCTTGTAAATATTTTCCTTGGGGGGTGGTGGGGGTGACGCCTCTAATGGGTTTTTCTTTTGTTGAGTGAGTGGAGTGTCGGGAGGATGAGGCTGAGGGGTTGTGAGGTAGTGGTGGTTCCGGGTCATCGTCATACATACCGAGTACTTTCCGGGCACATAAATGGGCTGGCTATGACTATTGGGCAGACCGGCGCCGTGCATCGAGTGACCGCGATGGCCGTGCTGCTGCCGGTGGTGCAGACCTATGCCGACGCCGCCGCCGCTCCCGCCACCGCTGCCTCCTGCACCGCAGCCGGCGCTGCTGCCGCCGCTGCCACCACTGGCCGCGCCGCCGCTGCCGCTCCCCGTGCTGCCGCCCGCCCCACTGCCGCCGGCACCGCCGCCACCCAGCAGCTGGTCGCCGACGCCGTGCAGCGGACTCCGCTCCGCCCAGGCCGCCTGGCGCGCCCGCTCTATGGCGCTGAGAATGTCCCCGAAGGGAGCCATTAGCAGCTCACAATAGACGGAGGCCAGGCCCTCTAAATGGCCACGTTGTCCATCCTGCAAAAGAGCGAGAAACGAGCAGCAGAGAAAGGTAAGAACGGACTCTTGGCCAAGTTCGGAAGAGTAGGGAGAGAACGCTTAAGGAGATGCGGGGATTATGAATGCAAATGTGTGCGCGGGTTACAGTGGGGCTAATAGGATGAATACCGGATGAGATGGTTATAGAGATGGAGATGGAAATGGTTGTGGTGGTGAAGCTTGGAAAATACACAGAGACAGAGCGGTTAATGATGCTATATTGATGTTGGCGTTGGATGGGGTTAGCGGTTTGGCTACTGACCGGGTTAATAATTACTAATTGACGGGGGTTAATTCGCTTATCCCACTAATCAAAAGGGGCAATTACTTGGCTACAGGTAACAGATTAGATGATTCACTGGGGAAATGTTGGGACAATGATTATTATTATTATAGCCATACAGATACTTAGTCAAAGCATACAGTAAGATACCTCTTCCAGTAACATTTATTTTGAAAGAGTTTGTTAGTATATAGTACTTATAAACCTATCAGTAATTCCCTTTATAATGTGCCCAAGATTGCTCAACAATTATAGCATTTTGCCTGGTAGTGTACTCCTCTTGGCGTAATTAAATAAGAGTCCTTGTGTATGCAGGTTTCCCTGTTTGCCTACAATATGCGCCGCTCAAGTCAAATTAGTTGGCACAACTGCCGCCGTCAATTGCCACAAATAATTGAGTCTGCCTCCGGGGGAAAGTGCCATTGGAGAGGGAGAGAACTAAGAGCTCCTCGTACCAGTAAGCAGTAACAGTCGAAACCTAATGCACTTAGTCTGAGCATAAATTATGGCTACTCCCTGGCATACACATTTGTGTTTAGGGCGTAGCCATTCGGCGGGAGCTACATCTCGGGCCTGATAAAATTGTTAACAAACTGCCAAGTTAAATTACATAAAGCAGAGGCACTCTCACTCACTCACTCACTCACACAACCATACACTCACTCGCAGCACAGCGACAAACAATGAGCTTCCCGTACGCACTTTTTCATTGCATACCTGCAGGGGCAATTTCGCAGGACGAAAAAAGCGAATCGGAAGTGAAGGTAACTCGCGGGTGGCAACCAGGGGGTTAGGGGAGACAGTCGAGGGCTGCCCCTGCCCGTTGCCTTGACACTTTGAGTGGCGCCCTGGGCAATGTTAAACGCTTGACATTGTTCCACGGCTCTGGCGCTCTGTTCCCGCGCGATGGCATCAATCAAATATGACACGCATTAAAATATCGCCCGATTCTTGCCACAGCCGCATGAGCCCTGGTCCTGGCCTCATGTCGTGCCTCCTCTTTGTCGCGTCATGTGGGGCCATGGGGAAATTGACAGGCTTCAGCTTGCCACCTGGCCTGCTGGGTGCGTTGTACTTTGACGTATGAAAAATACCTGCCACGCTGCTCTATGGGGCTTATTATGCCCTTTTTTGTAAAGGTCTCAACCAATACATCACCTTAATAGCATAATAAGTGTATTTTATTTACTTCAAAAATCACTTCACTTCTAAATAAAAAAAGTACTTTACATTTTAGTCCAACCATTTAAAAAAATCTTTAAAGTCAAAACACCATATGCAAATGGTAATACTTTAGGTGATATGAAGTGCAGTATTTCTTTTATTTTAAATGTAGTCTAATAAAAAATACCACACATACTGATTGCAAATAATATATTAAATTAATATAAATTCCTTATTTATATTTCACTCGTATTTAAAAACAGAAATTGTGACAAATAAAAAGAGAACCAAGATACAACAGTAATTAAAAGTTCTGACAGAAAAAAATGTGGCTTTGTCACATTTAGAATAATTGATTAAATCAAATATTAGTATAGGGTATTTGAAGCTCCGGCTTTGTAGCCCAAAAAACTTTCCTCTTCATAGTTAAATTGAGCTTCCCGCCCAGACATGCGTATTTAGGAGTACCGGCTTTGTATATATGTATATATATTGTGCAATTTGCGAGGAAATTGCCACGTTTAGCGTAATTTTTGCTACTTATTGCCTCTTTGACTAGGATGCCAACAGAGAAAAGGGAGAGTTTTGTAGCCTTTGGCCATACTAACAGGCAGTCGGGTTCCATTTTCTTATTTTTTCCCCTCGTTTCTTTTTTTTTTTTGCTCCTGCTTTATGCTTTGGGTAATTTCACAATGAGCCCTCGAGGTGGCTGCCTTGTTTGGCCTTTTCATTAAAGGTTAACTCGGAAAGTGTCAACTTTTGATGAAGGGGAGAACGAAAGTGTTTTTTCGCCCTTTATGGCTGACAAAGTGTGTTTAATGCTCGATTGAAATGGGACTTTGTTGGGGGGTCCTTGTGCCTCCTCCTGACATAGCCGCAAATTGATCGGATCGGATCGGAGCTGTCTTCGCTTCAATCAACATTGGTTTTATGCCTTATAAACTGACTTGACTCGCACTTGTAGCAATTGTCTGCCGTTTCCTGTAAGCAATATTTGAGCGGAAATCATTCAGCTCCTCATTATGCTCGTGCACAAATTTATTATGCAATTCCAAGTTTATGTCTCCTCGCAGTAACAGCATCAGTGCAGAATCAATTTCATTCCGAGATAAGGTTGAAGACAACTACATATAACACCCTTCGCCTTTCAGGGGTCATCAGGGCAGAGCTTGTCCAAGTCGTAAGAACAAATTCATAAAGTCATTTGCAATTTCGCTGCCAAAGGAAGTGGCGACTTGAGTGCAGAGCGAACGGAAATGCGAGCTGACAGAAAGTTAGCTCCTGCCAGATGGATAAACTTATAGACACACATATATCGCACTTATGCTCATGGTTATACGGCTGCGATGTGTTTGCGAGCTGAACTGAACTGAACGAATTCATAAAAACCGACTGCGAGAGCAAAGCAAGCAAAATAACTGTCGCAATAAAATAATTTATTGAAGTTCTGCAATGCCAGCGACAAATGCAATAAACTGCGAACTACGCCTTGGCTCACATGACGTATGCGTTATAAATTCATTTTCAATAGCCCAGCAGGAGCAGCGGGATCGGGTTGGGTGACTCCTTTTATTGGCAACTCTTGACACACATCGCGGTGCGAGAAAAACGCGCCAGACCAAGACCAAGCCGGCAGAAGGCAGTCAGTTAGGGAGCAACATCCCAGGACATGTATGGAGGATATCGTGAAATCCGGCAACTGGAAGCTGGGCCAAAGTGATGTATGAGTTTAACGCCCTCACGTCCTCGCAGACAGCAACATATACGGCAATAGCGACAGGAGCCAAAGCGAAACTTGTCTAAGCGCAGAGGAAAAAAATATTAAGCGAGGAAATATGTTGCCACCAGATATTGACAGCGTGAATCAGGGGGAGCGGGTCCTGGGACTTTGGCCCAGGATTCTTGGCAATGACAGCGGCTAAGTAAAGGGCGTGTAGCATCGCAACTTTTTGGCAGCGAATTCTGTTATTGCCGCCGCCAAATGACTTTGTTTATTTGTTTCATGTACATTTCGGTAATCAGCCCGGCACAAATTACACGCCGGGGCTAATAACTTTTGACATGTGATTTCGCAAGTGGCGTTAAGTCCGTGCCGCCAGCTCCGGTTTGCTCATTAGGCCCGGTTCCCCCCGAAACACTCACTCTCCGTGCCACTGTCCATTTTTTCCGCAAACTTGGCTGCCGGCCACTCGACTTGCTGCTAATTGATGACGTCTGTCCAGGGGAAAACAAAGTGCATACCGAGTCGGGTATATGGATGTTTTTATAAGGTCTGAGATCATACTGTTAAATTTCCATGACTTGATTCAGAAACTCGAGCAAAATACTTACAATATTGGAAACTAATAACTAATAAAAATCTCCTACAAGTAACTACTTTTATACAGATGGTACAATCTGAATCTTTACGTTAAGAAAGGTTCGTTAGAAATATAAAAGAAAAACTCCAATAATTTTACCAAATATATTACAAGATCTTATATTTGTATCATGCCAATAAAATGTATAAAACAAATGAAATTTCAAATAGATTTTGTTGTCTTCAAAAAGAAAGGGGTAATTGTTCTCTTTGTAGTTTTTTTTCTATTTCATGGATATTATTTCTTAACTCCTTTGTTTCTTTACCCAATAATAAAGAGCATTTAGCCACCGAGTAAACCCAATCGAATATATGTATTCCGAATCTGCGCCTGACTAAATCCGTTTAATGAGCA